TGAGTCATTATATCACTTCATGTCCATATGAACTAAGGTTTCTTCACAGTATTAAAGTGCAGTGGTAAGTTTCATCAGTCCTTGCTATCAGCATGACTACAGGTACATCTAAAAAAATAGAATATTGTGAAAAAAAATTCAATATTTTTAGTCAGTCGCTTCAGAAAGTGAAACTCATATATTATGTAGATTCATTACACAGAGTGAAATATTGCAAGCATTTATTTCGTGTAATTTTTATGATTATGGCTTACAGATGATGAAAACCTACAACTCAGTGATACCCACCACAGAAGGTGGACAATTATGTTTGAGCTCATGTCTGCGTGTGTTTGAACAGTCCATTTATCCAGCGATGAGCTAAAATTTGGTGTGGTAGGAGCTGAGCGTTATTCACAACACACTTCAAGACCAGCAGACCATGCTATCCATCCATCCATCCATTTTCTTCCGCTTATCCGGGGACGGGTCGCGGGGATAGCAGCCTAAGTAGGGAGGCCCAGACTTCCCTCTCCCCATCCACTTGGGCCAGCTCTTCTGGGGGAATCCCGAGGTGTTCCCAGGCCAGCCGAGAAACATAGTCCCTCCAGCGTGTCCTGGGCCTTCCTCTGGGCCTCCTTCCAGTGGGACGTGTCCGGAACACCTCACCAGGGAGGCGTCCAGGAGGCATCCTAAACAGATGCCCAAGCCACCTCACCTGGCTCCTCTCAACGTGGAGAAGCAGCAGCTCTACTCTGAGTCCCTCCCGGATGATCGAGCTTCCCACCTTATCTCCAAGGGAGAGCCCAGACACCCTGCGGAGAAAACTCATTTTGGCCGCTTGTATCTGAGATCTCATTCTTTTGGTCACAACCCAAAGCTCGTGACCATAGATGAGGGTAGGACTGTAGATCGATCGGTAAATTGAGAGCTTCGCCTTTTGACTCAGCTCTCTCTTCACCACGACATACCTGTAAAGTTCCTGCTTCACTGCAGATGATGCACCTATCCGCCTATTGATCTCATGCTCCATTTTCCCCTCATTCGTGAGCAAGACCCCAAGATACTTGAACTCCTCCACTTGGGGTAGGACCTCCTCCCTGATCCAGAGAGGGCACTCTACCCTTTTCCGGCTCAAGACCATGGCCTCGGATTTGGAGGAACTGATCTTCATCCTGGCCGCATCGCATTTGGCTGTGAACCGCTCCAGCGAAAGCTGTAAATCACGATCTGATGAAGCCAATAAGACCACATCATCTGCAAAAAGCAGAGACGCAATCCTAAGGCCACCAAAACGAATCCCCTCAACACCTTGGCTGCGCCTAGAAATTCTGTCCATAAAAGTTATGAACAGAATCGGTGACAAAGGGCAACCTTGGCGGAGTCCAACTCTCACCGGGAACAAGCCCGACTTACTGCCGGCGATTATTCCCCACAGGGTTCCCCGAGGGATGCGGTCGAACGCCTTCTCCAAGTCCACAAAGCACATGTAGACCGGTTGGGCAAACTCCCACGCACCCTCCAGGACCCTGCTGAGAGCTGTAGAGCTGGTCCAGTGTTCCATGGCCAGGACGAAAATCGCACTGCTCCTCCTGAATCTGAGGTTTGACTATCCGACGGACCCTCCTCTCCAGAACCCCAGAATAGACCTTACCAGGGAGGCTTAAGAGCGTGATTCCCCTGTAGTTGGAACACACTCTACGGTCCCCCTTTTTGAATAGGGGGACCACCACCCCGGTCTGCCAATCCAGGGGAACTTCCCCCGATGTCCACGCAATAATGCAGAGTCGCATAAGCCAACACAACCCTACAACGACCAGTGCCTTAAGGAACTCCGGGCGAATCTCATCCACCCTGCCACCGAGGAGCCTGCTAGATCCTGCAAAATACTGCCGCGACACGAGGTCACAGATAATCCTTTTGTTTCTCCATATACAATGATGGACTAAAACACAGGCTTGAAAGGTGATTGGCTTTTTTTTTTATAGAATGCTAGGCCTCTAGTTATATTAAGATTTTCTCAGATTCTTAATTTTTTTTATGCAGTTATATTTCCAGTCATTCTGAGTGAATAGTTATAGTCAGATTTATGTATTATAGTCAGATTTATGTATTTTAGTCCTTTCTGTTTAATATTTTTTTTACCTTTTATCATAGTCCAGTACACTAATCTGCAGCTTTACTGCCCATTATGTACAAACATATGATAAATGTGTTTTGATGATTTCATACGCTTTTTTCTTGACCAAAACTCAACCCCCTAAATAATTTTGTTTAAATAAAGAACCAATAAGAAGAAGATGATATCAGAACAAGCATTTACAAGTATTTTATTTTATTTGTAATTTGAGAAACTCTTGTGCTCTGATGGGGAACATATTGGCCAGATTGAATCAATGAGCTTTGGCCTCCTGTGACTCGGTGCACAGTTCATGGATTTTATTCATTTGGCAACTACAGACACAGAAAATCCCAATGTGTTAGCAGATATGTTATGATCCAGCTACTCTATTACAATTTGGCTCATCATAATGTTTCCTTAGTTTTTTGGTTTAATTTTTATTTTATTTCCAACACATTAAAACCAAATACAAAACTCACTGCCTAGTACATTAAAACCACTGTTAGGTGTTGATGTAATTAATTACCTGTCAGTGCATAATATTATGACTGATTATTGTTTATCGCTCCTTGCTGATGTCAGGAAAATGATGATTGAAAGTTAGATTCTGGGAAAAGAGTGAAATGAGACTGTTTGACAGCTTAGAAAGAATGCAACATCATTGAAAGTACAAGACAAAGACAGATTTCTGAAAAATCAACACACTTAGCTGAGCCATTAGATTAAAATTTGACATCCATGGAGAGATTTTTCTTTCAGCTTTGGCACATCAACTTTTATTTTTACTCTAGAGTAGTTTTTGTTGTTGCCATGTTGTAGATAACTGAACAGATGAACCATCATAAGAAGTTTTGTTCCAGTCTAGACTCACTTGTGGTCAATCATTGTGATAAAATGAACCCCTTAACTCCACAAGACCCTAATAATTTATGCCAGAGTCCTGACAGTGTGACACTACTATTTTTTCATCTCATGTAAAATCTTTTATTCCCCCCACATGCCTATATAAAAGTCAAAAAGTTACTTCCTGCATCAGACAATAAGATATGTGATGGGTGGTAAGATTTAGTTGACACAGTTTGGTCCTTGAAATTTGAGCACAAAACCTTTAAAAACCCACAAATTGATTTCTAGGAGTTTAATCAGTTAGGATTCAAGCAGATGTTATAGAGCCTATAAATGTAAAACTAAAGCGCTCAAGCTTTTATTTATTTCTAATCTAATTATTTAACTATTTTTTCTTTTTTTAAATACATATTTTTTTGTTGTTGTTTGGAACAAGTGTTGTAATAATGAGTGAGTGGCGTCAACCTAAAATGCAGATGTCATGGCAAACCGCAAGTGCAACTAAGAAACTTATTTGTGAAAAAGGTAGCATTCCAGACAAGTAAAAATTACACAAACTAACAGACTGTTAACACAAGGAGCTGCAAGTAAATAAAACAAAAAACCCAATTCATAAAACTCTTCAAGCTGGATACGAGACACCATCTCTGTGTGAGTTCTGAAATGCCAAGGCAGCATGAGAGGTTGAGGTCAGCTGCCCATTATCACGTCCCAGCCGCTAAGTGAAATACTGACAGTGTTGCAATGTTTGACATACAATCCTCTGTGTCAACCCTGCTGAAATGACCCGACTGAGAATTATTGGATTTGGTACCGTCCCTGTGATGGACTTGCGACCCGTCCAGGGTGTACACCGCCCCTCGCACAGTGATTGCTGGATATGGGCAACGGCGACCCCCGTGACTCACAAATGGAAGAAGCGTGTAAAAGATAATGGATGGATGGATTTGGTACCTGGATGATTGAGCATGAACTTTGTTGCCTGCTGAGTTACGCTCTACCTTATTTTGTTTCGCAATGCCAAAGTATTTTTGTAAATCATGTGGCCAGATTGATTTGCGAATAACCAGAGGCAGCTTAAAAAGAGACACGATACAAAACTGTTTTGTGAAAGAATATATTGTTTAACCTCTGACTAAAAATTGGACGATCTATATCAATGTCAGTTTTATTTATATAGCACATGCTGTGTTTACCCAAGTAAGTATGGATGCTACACATGTCAGCGTGTGTGTATAAATTCTAGAGTTGTGCTGGTAAAAATCTCATCCAATGTATACATTTAAGCTTGCCGCTTCCCATCTACTCTGGTGCAGAATTACACTTCTGGAATGTGCCATCCTAGTATGTGCCACACATGGGCAAAAAAAGTGGAGTTGAGCCACTTTTGCTTGCTGTTTAAACATTGCCTTCTTTTTTAAGCTTAGCAACCCCCTCTTCAGGGGTCACCACAGCGAGTCATCCTCCTTCATCTCACTCTGTCCTCTGCATCCTCTGTCCTCACTCCATCTACCTTCATGTCCACTCTAACTTCATCCATATATCTCCCCTTTGGCCTTCCTTTTTGTCTTTTTCCTGGCAGCTGCATTTCTAAAATCCTTCTACCAATATACTCACTGTCCCTCCTCTGGACATGTCCAAACCATTTCAGTCTGACCTCTCCAACTTTATCTCCCAGTTGCACAACCTGTGCTGTACCTCTGATGATCTCATTCCCTGAAATTCTTGTGTTGTACAAGTTTACCTTGAGTGTTTTACAGCCTAAATATTTCCTGTACTATAATTCCATTTAAACTCAAAGACCATTTGTGTTTTTTCCCCCTGAGGAAACAGTTTCAGAAACCATCTGTCCCCTCCTGAGGCTTTCACTCTCAATTTTCCCTGCAGATCTTCACAGCTGTCAACAGAACATCAGGATGAAAAGGAAAAAAAACAGTATATACAATATAAAATATATGATCTGACTGTCCTGTGAGTTCTGTGATTAATGGTGTGACCCTGCCTGTCATTTCTAGTATAAACGTTTTTTTTTGTCTTTTCTCTTCGTCCACAGGCTCAGCACGAAAACACAGCACCGCTCATTGGTGTCTGCAGGATATCGCCCAAGAATCAGTTGAAAGCTCCGATGAGGAGTTCTTTGATGCCAGAGGTTAGAACCATGTTTTATTTCTCCGTCTCTCTCTACTCTTTATCTTGTGAATTTTATG